TATGTGCAGCCTCTTCCTCCCACTATTCACGCTAGATATTCCTAATGACTCCACTCCAACTTATAACGTAAGTTAACGGTCACCATTCTTTCTTTAGAACTTTCTACAAAATGCTTTTACAATTTGGTCTTTGCTTCGTATGATTAAGTACAGATCTTACTCGGGGATCATCGATATCTCTCTTAATCCTCATGCACCCTCTCTCACCTCAATTCTCATCTCATGAATTCTTTGAATAACCAGTATTTTGTTACATCTTCAGTTGTTCCATCTCGAACCAGATTAACAGCATGGATCAGATGAGTCCCACAACCTCCATAAAAAATATCACTTGAGTAGAACCTGAAGGGTCGCCTTTTGCCCTCAAGAGTATTGACACTAGTTGCATGGTTAAACCCTTTAGTAATGCCTCCTCATTGTTGGAGGGTACACTTTCATAACCATGGATTTGAGAACATGGAACAGCAACCTTTCGTTGACAATAACCTTTCTGTTAGAGTTGGTTAACTCTAGATAGCATTTAGGTACCCATGTTTAAAGTGCAGTGGAAGTTATTACTAAGTTGATTAATGGATATCAAGTTAATCATGAATCAACATCCATAACCAATGAAAGTAAAGCACATTATCATATATATGGTTAGGCTAAAACCACTCTTAGCTTACATCTATGAGACCTCGTCCAAATCGAAGCAAATCCACTAAACAACAAACATTACTTATGTACGTTTGGAGGCTCCTTTGAATATCTTTGATTTTGGATAAGAATACTGTTCACAGTTATTGTAAATCCATTCAAGGATTAGAATACTTATGTATGTTTGGAGGCTCCTTCGAATATCTTTGATTTTGGACAGGAATACTGTTCACAGTTATTGTTTACGTGATTTTTCGCCAATCGATCCAAAGTAGGATTACTCACGGAAGTCTACACGAAGATAATTCGCAGAACCCTTGATTATTTTGCTAGAACAATCAAGGGCTTCAAGAATCAAAAAAGAAGAACAAGAAAAGTTTTCTTCTTGAGAGAGAGAGAGATAGGGTGGCTAGGGTTTTTAATTGAATGAGTAATTCTTATGTTTTAATTTTTAAGTTGCACTTATATAGTGCAACAATTAAAACCCTATTCCACTTAGGAATAGCCATGGGCTCTAACCCTAGTTTGCCCTTGTAACCAAACACACCCTTTATGGTATTTTAATTAATTAATTATTATAATAATTAAAATCAATTAATATATAATAATATAACAATATTTAATTAATAATAATAATTCATTTAAATATATACACAGATATCTTTAAATATAATCTCACTAATTTAATTTTAATATTAAAATTAAATTCAGGCAACAATCTCAGCAAATTTAATTGCATTGTAAGATTACCAAAATACCTTTTCATCCTAAAAGACGAAAATACCCTTCTCACAAATTGATTCTTAAATTATCTTCTAAGTGTGTGACCCGTGGGCTCCTCATCATATCGATAGTGTGTAGTATTGCGATTAACACCAATTAATCGTCTCACTACACACAGACCAAGATTGGCCCCTAGCAAGGCATCATGGCCACCTGATGATTTGGATTTAGCGAAACCATAGCCTGTCAACGGTTTGGTTACCGTGCAATCAAATCCTTTCATCAACTGTTATCTCATCGAGACTGAGGTACATAAATAGTGTCAACCTCAGATATCCTCGACATATTTGTATTCAGTTACTAGACCAATGACAGGAATATTAAATTGGATTGAGCATCAACTCAATCCCATTGTGGCCATAGATTTAGTGTCATTGCCATTTACTGAATTACCCAGTAAGATAACTTCTTCCATACCCAGGAGTGATGAATCCTTTGTCGATCCACCATAGTCTCGATACACTTCTCAATGTAGCCAATCACTACTGTATTGATAACTCTGAATAGAACTACTTTGGGCTAGTGTCAAACTATGCCAATTGGTGCACAAGACGCTCCGGTGATCTCAAGTCTAAGGATCACATGCACCATGCACCACCATCCATTAGAGGATTTATTCCATAGATACAAGGGTTACCATCCATATGGAATCCTCTGGTGGGTCTGTCCAGTGAACTTGCCTCTAGCAAGCACCTATGCATTGCACCAGGTTGTCAGCAAACAACCTTGACAAGTTAATTCAGTTACTACCTTTCGACAGGGTCGTTCAACACTATGATAGCCTTACCGTATTATCTGCGTCCTTGGTCAGAATAATACTAGGGCTACAGACGTTTCTAGAATGGCCACCATATGTGATCATAGGGTTCTCACTATCAAGATTTGAAACACTTGATACCCTCGTCACGGTTCTACCATCCTAAGGACATATATCATTACATACAAGATATAGAAAAATATGCCTTTTATTGATAAATAAACATTTATTACAGAGTCAATTTTACAATAATTGATTGGCTCTAGGGCACCTTTTACAATAATTGATTGGCTCTAGGGCACCTACTCTAACAAACATAAGGTGAACCTGTGAACCTTTGAGGAATAAAACTCTTTGAAAATTTCAGAGTATAAGCAAAGAAAATATCAAAAGGTTAATTCACAAATACGCAAGAAAAAAGAATATAAAGATGAGTTTTCTTACTCAACAATTTGTACCAAGTTAGCAAACAAGGGCTGACTCATGTTTGTCCAAATGAGGAAAAGATTCTAACTTTAATTTTGGACCATAACCAAATCGGGAAAAAGCATGGTTATTCCCTTGGACCACACATGGATATTGTAACACTTGTATGTGGTCCTAAAGACAACTTAAAAGATAAAAATAAATATCTTTACTATTTTAAACAAAAACGCAACTTGTGCCAATTTAAGAATATTTGACGCGAGTGTGCAAGCACATAACTATTGTGCACTCACTCGATATGAAACAAGCCAAAAACATAAGTTTGGCAACCTGTGCAGACACACAACTGTTGTGCACACATACAAAATAAGTTTGACAAAAATATTCTTCAATTTCCCCCTTTGTCAAACTTATGAACCAAGAACCAAATTGATCATAAGATCAATATAAACCTATCTCAATCAACCAAACAATCCTGTAAACAATAATTAGAGACAAGCACAAAATTAATCAATCAAAGGCAACATTAAGGACGATGTTAGCAACCAAATAACCAAAGTAATAATGAACCTTTAAAACCAAAATAAAAACAATCAACAAAACTAACTCCCCCTAAGAGAGTTAACTGCACATCAAAGTTTTAATAGTTCATATAAGCTAAAGAAAAGCATAATAAAAGTTCAAGACAAAGTTCATAAAAAAATTAACAAACTAAATACAAATTAACAAAATATAAAAGAATAATAATGCTAAAAATATGCTAGGGTGTTGATTTCACCTAGATACGCTAACCCAAATCACAGAATCTATTACCCAAGTTTTAATTCTTTGATTGAAAATCGAATTCCTTGAGTTGTTTGGTACTCCTTCTCAGGTTATACCACCCCACCTATTCCTATTAACCTTCCAAACCAAAAAAATTGAAGTTTAATAGTTCAAGGTCTCTTAAGCTTTGTGGAATTCTATCTAGATTTCATAGATTACGTTTATCTATCTCTAGTTTTCACTTAATCTATGGTAATTATCCCAAGAGGCACATATCACAAATCACTTCTCAGTCTTAGTGTGAACAACATACATTTGAATGGTGATCAAACATCCAAAAGTCATTAAGCAAAGAGATAAACACTCAATTATGAAATTAAAACTCAAAGTAAATCAATTCATATAAATTTGAATCATTGTATCAAGGTGACATCAAATCCTAGCTAAACAACTCAATTCATACTCAAAAACAAAACAAAATAAAAAAAACAAACTGAATCAAGGTTCATCATTCTAGTAGATCAGATAGTTTTTCTTTATGTTCTTGGGCAGTTTAGTAGCAGATCATGCCAAGGACTTTCATTGCTGATGAACACCTTTTATCTTGGCGCCAAATCTTTTCTGATTTCAACTGGAGCTTCAGGCCCTTTATCGTCCTGTCTAAGGCCAGTGTCAAATGCAAAATACTTGCTCCAATTGGGAATCCTAGAAGAATATCAAAAACAAGCAAAAAATGGAGAAATACTGAAGTATGTCCAAAGATGTTTTTCTTCAATTCCCAACGTGTTGTTCACGACTTCAAGCCAAGTTTACACCATCTTTCAGTCAGAATTAGGAAAAACCCAAAACATGAAAGGTGCAGTTTTGCTTCTTAGATTTCCGTAGCTTCTGAATTCAGATCATTCCGAGTTGTCAAGCTCAAGTTATGTAATTTATGCTCAAAACCATCATTTATGCTCAAAATCATCGTTTAGGCCTGCAAAGAAAAATTAATAGAATTAAGTAGCAATTATGACCCAAATTGCATGAGAAGTATCCTAAATCCTATTGAAATTCAATGCAAAATCATAGGAAAAAATAGGATTATCAACCGATGATCTATCAACTTTTCTCTTTGATTTCTTCTTTGGAGGGGCAGTGAGCGTTACATGAGAATCTTCAACTTGGATGTCGAAGGCTGGAATATCATCAACATGGGCAGAAGTGGTAGCAACGGCAGGAGCAAGAATGTTCTTATCTACAACAGGGGAGGCAGCATTGTCATCAAAGTGGATAAGAGAGGTATCATCATCATCTTTTGGATTAAGATCTTTAGGAACTAGAGAGGCAAATGCATTCTTTGACTTCTTCTTTTCTTTCTCCAAGTTGTCTAGATGAGCATTGAAAGAGAAGTGCATCTCCTTCACATATTGAAGCACATTCTCCATGGACATCTCCAAATCATGACTGCATCAAATAACTTGGATTGCCAAGTGTTAGCTCTCATATGATCGGTAGTGGATAGGGATGGAACACTCTTGGAGGGCTGTCTAAAAAAGTTCTTATTCACAGTCTTAATCTTCAAAGATGGCTTCACTTCATGGCATTTTGGTTTTTAAGGAGCAATAATTCTGTGGATAAGAGAAGGAACGGGTCAAACTTGAATGGCATGGGTGGTTTCCACAACAACTCTAATGTTTGTGTAAATGAGGGTTCCCAAATCAATCTTCTTGCCTACCCCAATCCTATAGAAGAGTTGTGCTCTATCTGCCCTAACCATGGAATTATGCATTGATGGGGACCAATTGGTTAGAGAGATTGTAAACAGCAAACGATAGAGAGGTGTAAGCACACTAGGCTGAAGAAATCCATTCTTAGGCCACTTGGCAACTGACCCACCAATCAACACTTTTGCAACATCATCCAATTTCAATTCAGACAACTTAAAAGGATTTTCAACAACAGGCAAACTTGGAACATCTCTAATCACATCAACACTAAAATGAACCCATTTACCCCTAACATACACCTTGTTATCATGCCCATCAAAATCGGGTTTAGCATTGTCAATGCCAAAATTGGCATAAAACTCTTGAACAAGAGTTTGAAGAGATACATCTAGCTTAGTCACTGACTTGATCCATTTTCGTTTCTTAATCATTTTGGAAAACTCAGGGAAATAATCAATTTCAACATTGGCCTCACACACAATTGTCCTCTTGACAATGTGGTCTTTAAATCGATTTTTGGCCTCAAAGGAAATAAAGGAAGAGATTTTACCAGAAGAGGAGGCTGACATGACTGATTTTGCCTTTTTCTTGCCTTTCTCAACCGGAGCTGGAGTCCTTGAAGGAGTAGCTTTTGTTGGAGGCTTCTTTTGAGTTCTCAGAGATGTGATTGGAACTTTGTCAGAGGCGTTGTGGGACACCGAAAATGAGGAGCCTTCAGGAGAGGATGGATTTGAGTCAGAGGTTGTGTGCATGGAGTCTTCACTTATCGATTGTGCCTCACTTGGAATAGGGGATGGAATAGGAGTTATGTGAGCAGGCTCTTCCCCTTGAGATTGCGATTCAGTTGCCGTAGGTTTCTTTGTTGGTGATTTCTTATGCAGAGTGGCTTTCTTCATGGCCATAAACTTCTTCTTAGGAGCATCTTCCATTGCTTTTCTTCTTGGATCCATGAGAAAAACAAAGAGGAAAAAAGGTTTATACAGGTTAGAGAACAAAATCGTGAGAGAAGAAAGACAAAAGGTGGCACAAAAAGAGTTTTGACGCAAAAAGAAATTAGGTTAGACTTAAATAGAAAAAACCTTCCAAAGCCCTAAAGAGTAGTTTTCCTAATTAGGACTCTATACTTAAACTGATGTGTGCACTGTGTAAGTGTGTGAGCACTTGTGAGTCAAATATGAGAAAAATAAAGAATTTTCATGCAAACATGAGTATGCACAACTTCCCAATATGACAACAATTTTCAAAAGCAGCAAATTTAAATTACAAAATAAAGACAATTAAATAAAATTGAATAATGAAATGTTTCACTTGATTTTTGAAGATCAAGACATATCAATATGTGCCAATCAACCTAAGTGTCCCATTCTCAATCTTGAAATGCACATAAATCATAAGGAAGATACCAACATAAAGAACAATCTAGACAACACTTCCTTAATCACATACAAGAGAAGAATAATCATAAGAGCTCATCTAAGTGTGTGATAGTCTCCTCAAGGGGGGTTAAGTGACACATTGGTCAAGTAATATTTTGCAAAGGAAACTCCTCATTCCCTCATGCCTTGTAACATTTTTCATTTTTCTTTTTTAGCGTATAAAGATAATGATTTGACTTTTTCTATTTCATTTTGACGCAAAGGGCTAATAACTCTCAAAATATAACCAAGTGTAGCTTTCACACTTGCAAGGAGGTAGTCTTCTTAATGGTAGATTTTCCAAAGCATAGGGGTCTCTATATTTCAAAAAAGTTACTCAAAAACAACTATCACACTTCAAGCAAGGTAGCTCCTTCACAAGTGACAAGCATAAAGACAAGCAACTCAAGATGAGACAAGCCCATGCTATAAAGAGAGTCAATAGTGGACACATCCTACCAGAGTTAGCACATAAGCAAGAGTGAACCTTATATCAATGTGCTAGCATAGATAAATAGTCTTGACAAACAAAAACAAAGGAAACATGTTCATGCTTTATTCAACAAAATCAATGACAACTATTCAAGTTGAAGTAGTCTAATGGACTTTCTCAAGAAAACAAATGTAATAGCCACTTTCTACTCAAATACTCATAAGGAAGTACATATAAAATAATATAAAGAAATTGGGCCCAAAATTTTTCTTTTTATTAAACATATATATATTTATATATATTCTTTACAACATATACATTTTTACACAAATTTATAATGTGTACAAAAGTCATCAAAAACATAATAGACAGTGTAATCGCTTCTCCTCGAGCGCCGACATCCATCCGACCATGTCCTCACCTAGATCCTGCAAAACATAGGAAAACAAGGGGGTGAGCACTAAAATAATGCTCAGTAAGTAAACCCTCTACTCATCTATCCCAATAACTCCCTCTCTCTCTAATTCTTTCCTTACAACTTCTCATTCAATTTCTCTTTGTACTTTTCTCTCTCTCTCTCTCTTTCTCTTTCTCTTAGAACTCTTTTCTATTAACTTTCTTTAGTAAGTCACGGCCCCATCTTACCGGGGGCACGACCAGGACTCGCTCCCACTCTACGTGACTTCTACTCATTCTAGCTGATCGGACTCGGTTATGCATGGATTCAGAACCCTTGGCCACGTGAGTGTATAATCTCTCTCTCGGGTACTCGAGTATAGCCCTCATCCGCATGCACTCTCATGGGCTACACCACTTCTCTATCCCATACTCATGCTGCTCTCTCAATGCGGCGTACATGCGGGAATACACTACCCATTACTCACGGGTTTCCCATCGCACAACCTACTCTATTCTCTTCTCTACTATATCTCAAGCTACTTCTTGAGTGTATAAACAAATGTGTATACATAGCTCATGCTCACTAATGCACTTATGAAATGCCAAATACAAGATTTCCTCAAAACAGTCATTCTGCACAGGTCACACAAAAAAGGCCATAACTTGCGTTATACACCTCGGATTGCTACGGTTTTGATCTCGTTTTAAAGCTTAGAAACAGGGCTATAACTTCCATGTTTAGGTCTCAGCCCAGTTCAATCCGTAGAATGCCCAAAAATTACTTAGAAAGTCACGGTAGTGACAGGGCAGATTTCACCTAGGCATTTCATCAAGCAACTCATGTGCATAAAAACACTCTACTAAAATTACTACTATACTTCATTCTCTAGCCATCCAAAATGGGGGAAAACTCCCTCAAATAACCATAATCCCTATCAAAAAAAGCACTTCCAAAAAGGTTTACACAACATCTCTCAAACTTCATCTCAAATTCCATTTCTTATCACACATCAAAAACACTTCTCATAATACATATACATCTCAACTCAATTCTCAACAACATAACATACTTATACAAGTATACATCTCTACTCAATCTCTAAATCTCTACTCAAAAACTTAACAAAACTCAAGTTGGTAGCATTTACTTACCTTGTGGAAAGGTGACATCTTTAGCACTTTTCCTTTCCTTTGTTGTCTTGTCTTCTCTCTTAGGATGCTTTAGATGAAATCTCTACTCAAATTTACTCAAAAGCTCTCTTAGAAATCTTGGAAGATTGGATGGAGAAATTGAGAGAAATTAGGCAAATGGAAGAGGCGGTGGAATGAATGAATAAAGGGTTTCTCTACACTTTAACTCTTTTAGCACATATTATAAGCATCTTTTCCCATTTTTCCCTTGCCCTTCCTTAGAAATTCCATCTATATCCTTTGATTCTTTACAACCACACCCCCATCCAAACACAGTCTCTACTAAATTTTCTTACATTTTACTCCCCACTTTTCCTACTAAACATAGATGAGAAAAGCTAAGAGTTAAGCTATATTATGAGTACTAGCTTGAGTATGAGTACTAGCTTGAGAAAGAGATGAGCAAACATGAGAAAGAATGAGAAAGAGATAAGAGCATAGAGTAGGTTATGCGATGGGAAACCCGTGAGTAATGGGTAGAGAATTCCCGCATGTACGTCGCATTGAGAGAGCGGCATGAGTATGAGAAAGAGAAGTGGTGTAACCCGTGAGAGTACATGTGGATGAGGGCTATACCCGAGTACCCGAGAGAGAGACTGTACACTCACATGGCCAAAGGTTCTGAATCTATGCATAAGCGAGTCCGATCAGCTAAAATGAGTAGAAGTCACGTAGAGTGAGAGTGAGTCCCAGCCGTGCTTCCGGTAAGATGAGGCCGTGACTACTAAAGAGCGAGTTAGTAGAAATGATTTATGAGAAATGAGAATGAGATAATAGAAAGAATTAAAGAATGAGAAAGCTTGAGAAAGCTTGAGAAAGAATGAGATAGAAAGAGAGAGAGAGTATGAGAATGAATGCGAAAGTTTGAGCTAAGAAGAACAAAGAGTAGAAGGAAGAAATATGCAGTTCTTTTGTATTAATTGCATGTAGAGCTTATACAGGTGAGGACCATGATTTTCCTTCATGGTGAGTATGATGAGAATAAGAGAGAACCATGATTGTCCTTCATGGTGAGTAAGAATAAGAGAATAAGAATTGAGAATAAGAATAGAGAGAAAGGAAGAATAAAAAGAACAGAACAGAGTTAAAGGAGAATAAAATCATTAGAAAGAAAGAGAAAAACAGTGAGGATTAGAAATAGAAGAACAGTAGAGTAACGAAAGAACCAAAGAGTGAGTTGGGGGGACAGGTAGTAGAGGATTTACTTACTGAGCATTGTTGTGCTCACCCCGTTGTTCTTCTCTGTTTTGCAGGAAATAGGAGCAGCGGTCAGATGGACATCGAGGAGCGAAGAGTATTGGCACCATTGTCCACCAGCTATAATATTTTGTATTAATTAGAAAGTTTTTAAATACATAGCCTTTTGTATTTGTAAAGAATTATATTTTTTGAGTAAAGAGAAATTTGAGCCCACTATTTTCCATACGCTATGTATATCTATAATTTACATAGTATGTATTATAAGAATAGTAGTAAAGAGGAGGTGTTACAGGAAAAGAAGTTATGGTTTTCAAGAATTCTTTTCAAATATGTAATGAACTTGAAGCATTTTGGTCTGATGTGACATTTTTTGTTACAAAAATGCAAATGGGTATGAATTTTTTTACCTTCATTACTTGTCTCATAGTAGCAACCTCAACAAGAGTTTCGGTGTCTCTAACAAACGTGTGTGCACCTGAAGTCGATCTGCTAGCAATAGGATTGAAATCCAAACCATACCGATCTCTGAAAGACTTTCCTTGCCCAACGACTTCATCAAGCTTAAGAGAACCTGCATTCAATCTATCAATTATGGCCTTAGCCTCGGTTAGTTCAGTAGTTAAAACAATAATCTTTTTGGACAAGGTTTTCTTTTGCTTCAACAAGGTTGCATTTTCAATTCCAAGAGATTGCAACTTCTTCACGGCCTTTAACTATTGATCATACATCTTATCATATGATTCTTGTTGTTCAGCATCAATAACAATTGTGTCATCCAAAGACTCACTTTTATCGTCATCTTGATTCACAGTAAAGGCAAGAACATTTTCATCATCACCAGACTCATCTTCCTCACTCTCATCTTGGTTACTCTCACTCAAAGTGGTAGCCATAGCCTTGCATTTCTTCTTTTTCAGTGTGTTAGCATACTCAGATTGTCTAAACCCCTCACACTCAAAGCACTTGATACCCCCTTTTTTTTTTTTTTAATCTTTCAAAAATCTTTTTGTAAAGGTACCAGGGGTTTGCTAGTCATAAAACTTTTTCACAAAAGGTTTTCTACCATTTCCACTCTCAAAAGGCTTTTTCATGTTTTTCTTTGAAAACTTTGCAAAATTCTTTGTAAGTAAAGCACAATTTTCATCATCCAAGCCACTTAAATCCATTTTTTCAAAAAGTTCAGAATCTACCTCATGTTTGAGAGCTAAACCTTTGCTTGGTTTTTGATTTTCCCATCATTTCAAATTCAGCTCAAAGGTTTGAAGAGAGCCGATGAGTTCATCAATGTCCA